TTAACGAAGCTGAGGCAGTTTTTCACACCCATCAGTTTGACTTCCTAGATCACTCGATATTCGTAAACTGTTAGCAGTGATATGTAAATATGTAATGTTTGTGTTTTCATGCTTGATCAGAGCAAGAAAATTTTAATAATACACTGATTTGTATGTGTGCAAATATCAATGTATAGAAGATTAAAGAACTGATAAGGTTTGGAAATAAATTCTGATAATAATTCAATGCTACAAGAGAGTACAGAATTGTTTTCTATAAGATATGAGCTAGGATTCATGCAATATATTAGTATCATACGATTTCGGAAGATAAGAAAATAAGCGGACGTGAAACGTGAAGAATTCCATTGAAATGGTGAGGGAATTTCAGTTCATATGTTTCTAATGGAGTTATTTTGTAGAGAGCAGCAAGGATTATTCACTGATGACATCGGGATTCTGTTCTATTCTTATACATAAAATATGTATGACTCAGATATCTCGTAATCATATTGATATGCGTATTGGGCGGTTGTAGCCGAGAAATAAAAATTAAATATGCAGCATATCACAGTTCTCCATCATTAGGAGAATTGTGATGATGATTGCTTCTTCGCTTTTTGCTTCTTTCTAGAACTGCCATTTTTATGCCTTCAAGTTAATCATAAAATGATCTGTCACAGTGCTCTATAAAAATAATGATGTCTAATATACTCTATAAAAAATAATGATGTCTAATATACTCTGTAAAAAATAATGATGTCTAATATAACATAGATGGCGCACCTTCCAAAATAATCTGTTTTGCAAGAAAATTAATGACAAACACAGATTCTCGCCCATTTACTGTGAAAGTTTTTGCAGTCCCAAAAGTAATTTTACAAATTCAAAAATAATATGAGTCAATAATTTTCATACTGACTTCGTTAAATTGATCTATTTTGTCATTAATTTGCTGATTCCATTGATAATATTTTATATCGTTATTTGTTTGAAAGTGTAATTGTTATTAATAGCATTGTTTTATAATTATATAACTATACTTTCAAATTTTAATTACATAACTGTACTTTCAAGACTATCGCATAAATTAACAACAGCTCTGTTTTTTTTATTTTTACATTTCAAGTATTTTGGTAATGTATGACATTATTTGAAATAATGAAATTTCAAACTGTGAATTTTTCCAAAATGTCACAGAATCCAAGCACAACTCAGAAGTTTCTTTTCACTTGTTTTCGTTCTTCATTTGCTATCTTTTACATGACTTTTATAACCGTTTCAGTCATGTTTCAGAATTAATAAAATTATTCAAAAATGTCACAGATTTTCACGTAAATTAACAACAAAAATTGTCGCCTATTTATTGTAAAAGTTTTCTTAGTACCCAAAGCAAAATTAGTAAATTATTAGTACTGGTAGCGAAAGCAAAAATCAGTATTAGCAAGTTATTATAATTACTTATGAGTATCAGCTATTTATAGTTCACTTGATACAATTTTAACGAATTTTTGCTCAAAAATCCAGAATCAGAAGTATTTGATATGGCTAGATTACCATCACTTTTTATATCAGTACAGTCACAGTGGCAGCATTTACAGTAATAACAATAATTTCAACTATGAAGAATAATAAAATAGTATGAAAGAAATAATATCGAAAATAATGTTGAAATAGCTGAAATAGACCGCTTTGAATTCTATTTAAAACCAGTTTCACAATAATCCGATCGAAAATCTGCTTGCGCAGTACAGTCATCTCTTACAAAAATTGGAATTTTTTCGCGCATAGTATATATTAAAAAGTTTTTCAGATCATCATGACAACGGTAACTATACCGGGGTCGTTAGTTAACAAACGAAAAAAGCATTTTCTTGGTATGCCAGCACCAGCAGGTTACGTTGCGGGTGTTGGCCGTGGTGCTACTGGTTTTACGACACGTTCAGATATTGGACCAGCACGTGATAGCACCGATCTTCCAGAGTTACCATTAGCTGGTGCGTCAAAAAAAGCTCGTGAAGATGATGATGATAAAAAAGATGATATTGAGGATTTAAATGATTCTAATTATGATGAGGTGAGTTTTTTATCTTCGTTTTGGAACTATCGTACTACGTTCACTTAACTCATGAGTTGTAATTCATTTCACTAAACTTAATGATTTCATAATTCTATCATCTTCATCATTTTGTTTGATCGTGATAAATATAGATTTGGCAGTGGAATATTATCTAGTTTTAATATTATAACTTTTCGATCCTATTTTATAACTTTTGATCTTATAATATTATCTAGTTATTTATAATTATTAAAAATTTCAAACTACAATAAAATTATACGCCTAAAATGACTTTGCTTTTTCTATGCAGCAAAAGTTTTAGTTCGAAGGATATGGTGGAAGCTTATTTGCTAAAGATCCGTATGACAAAGATGATGAGGAGGCTGACGAAATCTACGGTGCTGTTGATTCTCGGATTGATGAACGACGTAAAGAATATAGGTAAACATTATAATTTCTTTAAAGGTTTCTCTATCACTTGTATGCTTCCCTGTCACTCATATATTTTCGATTAATTTGTGATACTGTTGATCTAATGTTCTTTCATTTAGAGAAAAAAAATATAAAGAAGCAATCGAAAAATATCGTAAGGAACGCCCTAAAATTCAGCAGGAGTTTTCTGATTTAAAGCGTCAGTTGTCAAATGTTACAGAAGCAGAATGGTCAGCCATTCCGGAAGTGGGGGATATCAGAAATAAAGCAAAGCGAAATCTGCGAGCTGATAAGTATGTTATTTATAATTATTAAAATTCTCAAATTATAATTGTTGAGGACATAGTTTCAATCGTTTTTTTGTGTTTGGATTCATATTTTCAAATTCGAAAAATTAGCAGTCTTAATTTTGTGCTATCAAATATTTTCAAAAAGTTTATATTCTATAATAATTTGCAGTTATTTTCAGGATCACTCCAGTTCCAGATTCCTTGATTGCATCCGCGATGTCATATGGTCAAATGAGTTCACAAATGGATTCGCGGATACAGTCGGGTCTGCTTACACCAATGGGCTCTGGAATCACTTCAACCTTTAGTGGAATAAGTTCTACATTTGGCAGTGGTTTTATGTCTACACTAAGTGGAATTAAGAGTGGTTTATTGACGCCAGGATGGAAAACAGGAATACAAACAGGCTGTTCTTCATCAGCAGATTTAGACTTACGTAAAATTGGTCAAGCGAGAAATGCCATTATGGATATCAAATTAAATCAGGTAATGAACAGCAAATAATGTTCGTGACTTATAAAATTTCAAGAATCATTGTTCATGCTTTATATTAATTTATATATTAAGTATTTTTTTCCATATAAATTCTTTCAATATTATAAAAATATTTGTCTTTTTTGCTTATTCATTGATTTGACAGTGGGAAGAATAATGGGCAACGAACACAATTTATGGTTTTGATTGCTTGTTATTTTGCCTTGAACATGCTAGTATATTCCTTGTTAAATATCATTTGCTTCTTAATTTTTATTTAGGTATCGGACTCTGTGACAGGTCAAACAGTGGTGGATCCAAAAGGTTATCTAACCGATTTGCAGTCAATGATTCCGCAATATGGTGGTGACATTAATGATATAAAAAAAGCTCGTTTACTTTTAAAATCAGTTCGAGAAACTAATCCTCGCCATCCACCTGGTAATGTATTTTTTCAGCAATTCGTAGATGTAGCATGAATCTTTAATTCAACTTGTAATTATGTTTTGTTTGTACCAAGCAGTAGTTTAATATTTGATAGATGCATTGATTATGTGAGGTGCTTGATTCATTCTAGCATGGATCGCTTCTGCACGCTTGGAAGAAGTTGTTGGGAAATTGCAGCTGGCTCGTAATTTAATTATAGAAGGTTGTGATCGGAATCCAAAGAGCGAAGATTTATGGCTTGAATCAGTTCGTCTTCATCCTCCAGATACGGCGAAAGCTATCGGTTACAACATTTAATTCTTGAATCAGATTGGTTGTTTTCTAATGTGTGGAATTTCTTGAAGTAGTTACTGTATTTAGTTGCGATTGCTGTTCGTTCATTACCGAATTCGGTTCGCATTTGGATGAAAGCTGCCGAATTAGAAGGGGATTTGAAAGCAAAAAAAAAAGTATTTCGTAAAGCGCTAGAACAAATTCCAACTTCGGTACGTTTGTGGAAAGCAGCGGTTGAGTTGGAAGAACCAGAAGACGCTAGAATTTTACTAACAAGAGCTGTGGAATGCTGCAGGTTCTACATCTTTATTGTTTGATTTTTGAAGGAAATAAAATTCAATTATATATTGTATACACCACTTAGCACTGTGTATCATCTAAAAATCATCAAGTTTTTCAAATCGCATGATTTCATTTCAGTACTTCAACAGAATTATGGTTAGCCCTGGCGCGTTTGGAAACTTACGAAAATGCACGACGTGTGCTTAACAGAGCACGTGAGCATATACCAACTGAACGACAAATTTGGATTAACGCTGCAAGATTGGAAGAAACGCGAGGGCAGAGTGATATGGTTGATAGGATTATTGAACGAGCTATTACTTCTTTGAAAGCTAATATGGTTGAAATTAATCGTGAACATTGGCTCAAAGATGCTGTGGATGCAGAAAAGGTAGTTCTTAAGTCCGCTGTTTAGACTGTGGGGATTTTCGCTAAGATTCCTTTAACAATTCAGAGTAATTTGTAGGCTAATTGTAAACTCACTTCACAAGCCATCATTTCACATGTTCTTGGAATTGGAGTTGAAGAAGAAGATAGAAAACATACGTGGATGGAGGATGCAGAATCTGTAATTTTTTCACATTTTGTACAGAAGTACCTAAGAAATTTTTCTGTTAAAAGTTTTCGTACCATCAATTCTGCAAAATATTTAAGTTTGTGGCTCAAGAAGCATATGAATGTGCTCGTGCTGTATATGCCCACGCCTTGATTGTTTTTCCTGCTAAAAAAAGCATCTGGTTTGCAGCAGCTCACTTTGAACGGAATCATGGAACAGCGTTAGTTTTTTTTCTAATCCTAATCATTTTGATTCTAAAAGTGATCAGCAATAATATTTTTAAAAAGCAGAGGCCCAATCTTTCGAGGCAAAAAGTGGGTGGGGTGAAATAAATCGAAAATGACTCTATATTATAGCCAAATTATCTACAAAATGATCAAATATTAAACTCTATGATCTAAAGTTTTAAACAGGAACAAATTTGAACAGTGTGCTTTGAATTAGATTGCAAAATATTCAGTTGCTCTTTTTTCAAGGGAAAGCTATGATCACTTATTACAAAAAGCAGTGGAAAAATGTCCTAAAGCAGAAACTCTGTGGTTGATGTATGCAAAAAGTAAATGGATGGCAGGAGATGTGAAAGCTTCTCGTGAAATTCTAGCCAGAGCTTTTCAGGTTTGCTAGTTTACTTGTTTCATTTTCTAAAATATCATCATGACTGTGTACTTTAACTGATAAGCTTGTATTTTATCAAGTACTCATTATTTACAATTTTTTAGAATAATCCAAATTCTGAAGAAATTTGGATGGCTGCCGTAAAATTGGAATCTGAAAATAACGAATTTCAAAGAGCCCGTAAACTGTTAGAAAAAGCTCGTGAAATCGCTCCTTCTCCACGGATTTATGTCAAATCTGTTAGGTACTTTCACTGAAACATCTTTCACTATAATCAAATATTGTATTCATGAATACACCATATAGTTTTTAGGCTAAATAAACATGCTTCAGTGATAGGGATCTTCTATTTAGTTTCAAGTATCAGAAATTATTTTTTATTTGCTATATTTATAGTATTATTTAAAAATTGCTAGTGATGATTGTCGGTAATATGGTATTTGTTCACTAGTTTTTTTTTATCAAGAAACGCTTTAATTGATCAAAGTCCGCATTAAGGCAAAATCATTTGATGGCTGTTTCATGGATCACGCTTCAAATTTATTTGATTTAGGTTAGAATGGTGTCTGAAAGATCTGAAGGCAGCTAAGGAACTTTTGTTGGAGGCATTAGAACAGTTTCCAGAAACTCCAAAGTTATATCTCATGATGGGTCAAATATTTCAGCAAGAAAAAAATTATGCTGAAGCACGTCGATATTTTTCCAATGGTGTAAGTGTGGTCCAGCACTTTTGCTTGCATTTATCTGGATACTTCTGTATTTCGTGTTTGATCATCTAACTCAAATTTGTATTTTTAGGTAAAGCATTGTCCTAGTTTTATTCCTCTGTGGATTTGGTTAAGTCGTTTAGATGAATCACAGCATCAGATAATTAAAGCTAGATCTGAATTAGAAAGAGCACGTTTGCGTAATCCAAAGAATCCGGAACTATGGTAAGTTTAGTTTCTTCCTTTGACTTAGATGAATGATTGCCTATTGTTTTTCTGGTATGTTTTTGTTTGAACGTCTGTGACACTTTGAATTGGCAAAATCTTAGGCTAGAAGCGATTCGAATTGAAGCAAGAGCTGGTTTGAAGGAACTTGCACAGGAAAGACTGGCTAGAGCTTTGCAAGAATGTGAACACTCAGGTAAATTTGTTAATGTTTTTCTTGTTCACTTTTCTAATGTTTTATGAATCTAAAAATTTATAACTAGTTTTTCAAACGTAATTTATTTTCAATTATTGTAATTTGCATTTTACGAAGTGCTTAATGGTCTTCAAAATTATTTCTTCTTCGAAATATAGGATCATGATATCATATACTTTTTGAATCGTTTGTCCACTTATTTTGATGATCTTAAATATCATTTGTTTTTATATGTACTGAAATTAACTGTACAGGACGTTTGTGGGCTGAAGCAATTTTCATGGAAGAGCGCCATGGTCGACGAACAAAATCAGTTGATGCTCTCAAAAAATGTGAACATAATGCTGATGTTCTTCTTGCAGTTGCAAAGTTATTTTGGACGGAACGAAAGCTTAAAAAAGCTCGAGAGTGGTTTCAGCGAACTGTTAAAATTGATCCTGATTTTGGAGATGCCTGGGCATTCTTTTATAAGTTTGAACTTTTACATGGATCTGAGGTACAGGAATATATTATCATAACACTTTAATAATTTCAGTCTTTTTTACTAGTGACAAAATGTTCTTGAACAAACTTTATGAATTTCAATTTTTAAAAGGTCGTTGACCTAGAAGGGAAAACTTGCCAAGCATACCAAATTAATATAATATAGGATTTTTTTCTAAAGTGCGTTGAATTAGCTTTTTGAAGGAAGATCAAGAAATAGTCAAGAAAAAGTGTTTGCAAGCTGAGCCTCGTCATGGTGAATTATGGCAACAAGTTTCCAAAGATGTGGAAAGTTGGCGAAAACGAACCGATGAAATTCTAACTGTTTTGGCCGATAGTTTAGAAATCCCTCGGTAGTTACTTTTGTTCGATTGTCGTGTGGCATATTAAACTTGTATAAATCAGTGATATGGTTCGTTATTAAAGCCTACATTGTTTTTGTTGAGATGTAATAACAAATGTTTTTGAATAATTCTTATTAGTGTGCTTTTATATGTTTTGAAGTATTTGAAAATCTGATCTGCTAGCATTTAGCGTATTTTTGTAACACTTCTTAATTTATTTCCTTTTTTTCTCTATCTGCTTGTAACTCCTTCTTTTACTTGTTGAGCATATTTTTTATTATTCTTGCAAAGAAAAAATTCAATGTTAAAATAAAAATAATGAGTATTTTTCGTTAAATTTCGTTTATTTGTTTCTAAATTCTCTATACTTTTTTATCGCGATCATGTATAACTTTTCAATTCTCAAAAACATGAAAATTCATTTTATTTTGTTCCATTCGCTTATAAATAGCAGAAATAGTGACCTTGTACTTGTTTTTTTTTTTTTGAAATGAAATTAAAAGGAGTTAGATTATGCTTTAGTTCGAGTATGGTTTTATTGGGTATTACTTCCGAAGGTTTGCTGTACATTGTTCCAGATGTTGGAAGTTTTTGAAAATTATAACTTTGGTAGCAGCCCATTTTTTTCGATTGTGATTTGTAGTTGTAAACAGGTACTCCAGTCTAGTATGCTTGGTAGATGTGTGCGAGAACTATTATGGAAGTCAAATGTCCAGTACTCTAATTGGAGAAATCCATCTTTGTGCTTTTATATCCATTCATCGCAGTTTTGTTCTACATCCAATTCAGAAATAACGCAGAATGAAAATGTAGTGGAGGCCATTGGCTATGCTTATAATACTGTTGAGAAGAAAAAAGGCCTATTTAAACCAAAGCATACTGTGGAAGAGCAAATTGCCTATATGAAGAGTAAAGGTACATATTTTCTATAGCTTCAGTCTTGTATTTGTACAAGACTGCAAATATTTTTAAAATTAACTTTCCCAGTGTTTTCGTAGTTTCGCTTTGCCATGATTTGTTCTATCATAATTTTCATATTGAGAGAGTTTTTACTTATTGACATTAAACATAGGATTTTCATTATAGTATTCGCGGATACGTACAAAAGTATGCCGGTATATCATTTCTATAGAAGAAATTTTAAAGGACAGGCCATTTTTATGCCTAAACCAAGAATGTTCTGCTTGGATAAAGAAGGAAGATTCAATGTAAATCATGCATGTCCTATTTGTCGCGATGAATATTTATTTTTCGATTTTCGGGTAATTCTTTTCATTCGTACTAGTTATGACCAGTGTTTTGTGACCAATCATTTTGTTTGGAAGCAGAATCCACTATTGCAAAATGATTTGGTTCGTTCGTAGAGAATAAGAATTTTAAATTAAATTAAATATCGACTCGCAAATTAGGGTATTTTCTTTTTTATATCTTTCCACAATTTTCTACTGTTCTTAAAATGTTAGGGGTATTTTTTCTACCTCGTGTTCATAAAATTTCAGAATCCTGCTTTGATTCAACAGTTCCTTATTGATGACACTGATCGTTTAATCCCGCTCAAAAAATCAGGATTATGTTTTGATCAGTATGCACAACTTCGAGCTCAGTTACTTAAAGCGAAAGAACATGGTTTGTGTTATTCCGAGCTATTTTATTTTTCATTTTGAAATGTCAGAATTATGAGGCTAAATATTTTTTGGACAAAAATTTGTCGTGTGTTTTTTTTTTTAAATTCTCATCAGTGAAATGAGAGTCAAGAAAATAAATTGAAAATATCAATGTTACTGATTAAATTTTGATCACTCAAAATATAATTAACTCGAAAATTGAGACCAAATGTAAGAATCGCTAAACTCATTTTACCTTTCAGTATCTTATAGGAAGATTGTTTTATTAAACTCTAAAATTTATGAAAAGTAAAGATCTATTTCATTGTTGCTTTTCGAATATTATGTAAAGTTTTCAAGGCTTCATCAAATTCGCTGTTCCATTTCAAAATTTCAATTACAAAAGGTGGTATCCATGGTGGGATAAAGAAAATGATCACACTTATGTACGACGTGACATACCTATCGAAGATGTCTATAAGCAACCACTGATCAATTTCCCTGTTCATAATCGTGACTTTAATAATAACTGGGATCAATATTGGTTACGTCATAATGAATTTGCTCAACGATCGAAATAAATTTTACAAGTGAAAAGTGTTTTCAAGAGCGATTCGTGGCATCAGTCATTTACAGTGTGTTATGTGACATTTATTTTACTGTAAATTTTGTTATAATTAAAATATTATTGCATTTCAAGGTTTAAAAAATCAAGACAAATTCTCTTTGCTATATCATCATAGATCCTTGGGTTATAGGGCAAGTCTAGCTTCTCTACCGATTTTTCGAAATCGTCTCTTCAAACATTGTTCGCTTTCAACACAGATAAGTTGCCAAATACAACAGGATACTATTTCTCTTTTTTACCTACTGTAATTATTAAACTAGTTCCGCACGATCAAACAATGTAGACAAGAAGCAATAGAAATGGACTTGAAAGAGCACAAACAAAAGTTTCGAACAAAATCTACCCAAATTTCTTACAAAAACTTGCGACGTGCAGATTTGTAATTTCACTTCAGTACCTGTCATTATAGTGATCAGAAATGATTTTTTGCAGTCATGAACTTATTTTAATGATATAGCTGAAAATACATCAATCAAATTCTCAAAAAATTGGAAATAATCTGTATAGGTAGAAACATTATCATATTTTATTAAATAAATGTCAAAGTTGACAAAGTTCATGAAATCTAATATCTGTAATTTTCTAAACTTGAATGAATATTATAGACAAAGTACTTCATAATCAATGTAAAAGGATTTTCAACCATATCTTTAAAAATAATTTGTCTTGTAAATAGTATTCATATTCCAGTCAAGGGATTTTTGTAAATTTAAGAATCCTAACTGATCGAAAATGAAATGGTATACTTTCATGCTCAATACAGATAAAGGACTCTCTTCACTACAAAATTAACCTTTACCCTGACCTTATGTACGGTGTTTTACTCTCTCCATCATTCCTGCTATGTTATTAGTAGTGTAATAATTTTAGCATTTCATATGCTTGTTTTTTGTTTTGTTTTTTTACTAAATAAACTGAATTCTATGAAAAAGATACAAATAATAATTTTTATGATATAACAAACTTTTGCACTTTTATCTTTCGGAATTTTACCATCTATGAAGCAGATTTGAAGAATCTTTGTAGCAGTAGTCAGTTTAATCAACTTTAACTCTAATTAATTGCTTCACGGAACTGCTGCGTCGTTAATTCTGTCATGTTATTTTACAGTCATTTTTTAGATGAAAGTAATTCGATCAAATAAAATAAACTTGTAGTTTAAGAAGCGTTGTTTGATTAAAAGAAATTATGCAAATTTTCATAAGAAAGGTTATATGCGGTTATCACTTGTAACAGTTTTAGCGCTGAGCACAGAGTTAATACAGCTGGCAATGAAGTCTGCATGATATTTCTGAAGATAATGACCTTCACCCTCAATATTTTGAGGGCGAATGATTCTTCTAACATAGCAAAATGCGTCAACATTTTATTCAACATTGAAATATTTTTTGTTGATGACCAGTATGTCTTAATTGATTGCATTCATAATAACTAATAGTGGACTAAAATATTGATAATAATGGATAATTTTTCATTATTAAAACAATTCGTTATTGTATATCTTTTTATTCGCAGTTAATTCAAATTACGATGAAAACAAAGAATAATAATTTTGATGAAAGTCTTAATTAATTAATTAATTGATTAAGAGTTCACCAAAATAATAGTAAAAAATTGCGGCGAAATTCAAGCATTTTTGATTGAAAATAGCTTTGATCGTAATTCTAGAACGATTTTTCATATTTTTCAGTCTTTATCTCAACAATTTTGAGTTCAGGAACTTTATAGAATTGATGAAATCATAATTTAATATTGCTTAGTGAATAATTGCATTAAGTGTGGCAGTATGCTCGAATGCATTCAAATTATCAGTGAATAATAAAATTATAATTTTAAGGTTTTCAGTACGGACCGAAGACTAATTTTTAATGTTTAGTTTATAAATTTTGTTATCACAAAAAGTTAATTGGACGATTGATTTTTGAAATTATAAAAACTGACAAATTATGGAAATTAGTTACTTACCACATGATTGATATTAATGAAAAAGGATGCAAAATGCTGACTGATAGATAATCCGATAAAGAGATCGGCTGATTAATAAGCTATCAAAACCCAAAATAAGTATACTTACGACTGATTCCAACCAAATTATTGAATAATTTATTACTGATTGATGGATAGGCAAACTTACTGATTGCTTGATCGAGTAATGTAAAAGATTTTAAATTTAATAATAATAAATTTCAAAAAATAATTATTATAATAGTCGTAAATCAAGTAAGACTTATTTTATTATTAATGATAAATGATGGGGTAAGCATTTAAATTAATTGTTGAAATACGAAATTAAACGAATACTTATTTCCAATTCAGTTAAAAATATTTTGTGACAATAATTTTTATGAATTTTGTAAAAGTTCTAACAATATACTCTTGTGAGAATGAATTAATGCCAAAGTTTCAAATAAGACATTAAAAAGTAATAATTTATTACATAATATAAAAATCAAAGCAAAAAAATTTGAAAAAAAAAATCACAATATCTGTTTGTTGAAGGCAAAAATGATTTTCCTGTCTTTTCAAAAATGATTTTCCTGTCTGTTGAATTATTGTGAATTATTGAAATATGCAAATTTTAACAACAATTACGATAGATATTATGAATTATTGTAATATGCAAATTATAACAATAATTATTATGAATAATTATTATGAATTATTGTAATATGTAAATTATAACCATGATTACGTTTGTTAAAAGTTCAATGCAAAATTTTCATAATTAAAAAAAATTTTGAAAAATGTTAATGCTATTTTGTTATTTTCACTATTAATAAATAATAACTATATTGTATTAATATACTACTTTTGAAAAAGTTTTTCAAAAATCACTAATTCATTTTACTTTCACTTATTTTAATTCAAATTTATTTTTCATGTTTAGAAGACAGATGCGAGATGAAAAAGTAGCATATGAATTAGTAATTTTTGAATAAGTTACTTTTGATAATATTGAAAAAG